TCCAAAAAAGAAAAAAAAAAAAAAAAAAGAAATATATGTAAGCTAGATAGAGATAGAGGCTAGGCACAGTGGTCTCACCTCTATGATCCCAGCACTTTGGGAGGCTAGGGTAGGAGGATTGCTTGAGCCAGGAGTTCTAGACCAGCTTGGGCAACAGAGAGAGACCCTGTCTCTACAAAAAAATACAAAATTAGCAGGCATAGTGGCATGCATCTGTAGTCCCAGCTACTTAGGAGGCTGAAGTGGGAGGATTGCTTGAGCCCAGGGAAGGTGGGTCAAGGCTGCAGTGAACTTTGATCACGCCACTGCACTCCCTTCTGGGATACATAGCAAAATCCTGTCTCAAAAATATTTATTTATCAGTAGGAAATGTAGGAGTGCACAGTGGCTCATACCTGTAATCCCAACATTCTGGGAGGCCAAGGCAGGAGGATCACTTGAGGCCAGGAGTTCAAGACCAGCCTGGGCAACATGTGAGACCCCATCTCTACAAAAAATCAAAATTAAAAAAATTATATAGGCAAGGTGGTACATGCCTATAGTCCCAGCTACTCAGGAAGGTGAGGCAGGAAGATTGCTTGAGCCCAGGAGTTCAAGGCCGCAGTGAGCAATGACTGTGCCTCTGTACTGCAGCTGAGTGGCAGGGCAAGACCCTGTCTCTAGAAAATAAAAAAGGTAAAAAAATTGTTTAATTGCCAAAATTCCTTCACTGAGAACTTGTCTATCCTGTGTTTCAGCATCAATTCAACCAAGAAATGAAGGAGCAGATTCAAAGTGATTATTTTTATTATCTTACATCCACTGGGTTTTAGTCCCAATGGAGATTGTGAACCCTGGTGAGATCTTGAGATCAGTAGCATCCCTGAGGGGAAAACACAAAATTGGTCCACTGTCTGCTGCCCTGACCTGCCCACAACTCTTTTTTTTTTTTTTTTTTTTTGAGACAGTGTCGCTCTTGTTACCCAGGCTGGAGTGCAATGGTGCGATCTCAGCTCACTGCAACCTCCACCTCCTGGGTTCAAGCAATTCTCCTGCCTCAGCCTCCCGAGTAGCTGGGACTACAGGCGTGTGCCACCACACTCGGCTAATTTTTTGTATGTTTAGTAGAGACGGGGTTTCACCATGTTGACCAGGATGGTCTCGATCTCTTGACCTTGTGATCCACCCGCCTCAGCCTCTCAAAGTGCTGGGATTATAGACATGAGCCACCACGCCCGGCCAACTCTTAAGAGGTTTGCAGTCCCCATTCCTTATAGCCAGCCATAGAGATCTTTCCCTGAAACAGGAAACACTGGGCAGCAGAGTTTCTCATCCCATTCCAGGTAGACAACCACACCCCCAAACACTCCTCTCCATAACTGAAGGTCAGAGGGTGAAGGGAATAGTCTCTGCTCTCTGTGACCAGGACCTCTACTCCTTCCTTTCCAGCACCATTCCCGCTCTCAAGCGCCTGAGTCTGGGCCTTGTCTACTTGGTGGGTTACACTCTGCTCAGCCCCCACATAACAGAAGACTATCTCCTCACCGAAGACTATGACGTGAGTGTCTCCTAAAGTAGCAGCAGCATGACTGCACCAGAGCTAGAAAATGGACAGGCAAGGATCCCTATAGATAGCAGAGAAGTAGGAAATATCATCTACAAATGCATATTGGTTTTGCTCTAGATCGGTGAGTTGGTGTCAATGCCAGCCGGGCCGGGACACGTTCATCAGCCAGCACTGAATGAACCTTCGCGGGCACAGGGCTGTGCCAGGTGCACATTTAGCACCCCTTGCCTTCTCTAGGAGCCGCTCCTAGCTTGCCTTATCACATCCATGTGACCCCTCAGAGCACAGCAGCTTCTGATTCTCCAGCCTATTTTCTTTTCTTGACTGATAAATTTGGGCATTTCTAGGGAATTCAGAGAAACCAAGGGAAGAGGGGAAGTACTGGAAAGGCTTGAAAGAGATCAGTAATTCTGGGCAGGTTTCTCTCCTTAAATTAAAATCCAGTGTGGGCCCCTCCGTACTTAACATTACAGATGCTCATTCCAAAAACTTTGCCAACAAAGGCAAACAGTAGAGAAGTTAAACAGTGCTGCCCTTGGGACTCTCCAAGGGAAAGGTGAATGGATATTCTCCAGGCCCCCAGCTCACTCCTCTCTGCCTGTTGTGAAGGCAATCAGGCCAGACTCTTGGGGGCATCTGGCAGCAGGACTTAGGCAGATATGAAGTAGCCAGCCGCAAGTGTGAAAAGGAAGTGCTAGGAGAAACGGCCTCGTCATGCGGTATCCCTAATGCACTGTGCTTTCTTCTCCCAAGAACCACCCCTTCTGGTTCCGCTGCATGTACATGCTGATCTGGGGCAAGTTTGTGCTGTACAAATACGTCACCTGTTGGCTGGTCACAGTAAGTAGAAAAGTTGAAACAGGGTCCTATTTAGACAAGCCGTGGGGGCCGGTGTGGGGAGTGGCAGGAGCCCTAACTGACCTATTCCCTCTCAGGAAGGAGTATGCATTTTGACGGGGCTGGGCTTCAATGGCTTTGAAGAAAAGGGCAAGGCAAAGTGGGATGCCTGTGCCAACATGAAGGTGTGGCTCTTTGAAACAAACCCCCGCTTCACTGGCACCATTGCCTCTTTCAACATCAACACCAACGCCTGGGTGTCCCGGTGAGCTGCTGGAGGGGAGCCTGGACCCTGGTTCCTTCCTTCCAGTCTTCCCAGATTGAAGGGCAGAGGTGTACCATGTCACCCCTATGCACCTTTCCCACCTGGGCAGAACCCTGTCACTCACCTACACTGACTTTGACCCCCACCCCTGCTCCCCTCCCCCAAACTATTCCTCTTATTTGAAAAAAAGGCAGGATATAAAAGTGCCTTGTGCCCTGAGTGTTACTCCAGCTCTGCCACTGGACTTGCATCCTCCACAGCCCTGTTTATAAACAGCTTTACTTGTCTGTCCCCACCAGTAGAGTGTGGGCAGCTTGAGGGGAGTCTGGTTCACCACTGAGCTGAGCATCAGCACTGTCACTGCTGCTGAACCAAGTGGCTCCTGCTTCCAGCTTCGCCTTGCGTCTGCCTTCCATCTCTAAAATTAATCAGTCAGCACTGCCTCCTGTACCCCTGGGGGGCTACATCTGGGAGCCCACCAGCACTCCACTCTGATCCTCAGGGTGTGAGGACCCAGGGGCAGGTGGCAGGATGCAAGAACCAGTGAGTTTGAGGGTCGCCCCACCTGCCCTTTTCTCCAGCTATTTCTTCAAACGACTCAAGTTCCTTGGAAATAAAGAACTCTCTCAGGGTCTCTCATTGCTATTCCTGGCCCTCTGGCACGGCCTGCACTCAGGATACCTGGTCTGCTTCCAGATGGAATTCCTCATTGTTATTGTGGAAAGACAGGTAGGCCTCCAGGGTGGGGGTGAAGGGGAATATGAGGGACAAGACGCTGATGAGCTTCTCCTCCCTCCCCAGGCTGCCAGGCTCATTCAAGAGAGCCCCACCCTGAGCAACCTGGCCGCCATTACTGTCCTGCAGCCCTTCTACTACTTGGTGCAACAGACCATCCACTGGCTTTTTATGGGTTACTCCATGACTGCCTTCTGCCTCTTCACGTGGGACAAATGGCTTAAGGCAAGTGAAGGCCTGCTTGTGAGGTTGGGAGGGTCTGACTGCAACCATGGGCAGCGAGGGATGCTCCAGGCCTGTCTACCTCAGTGGCCTCTCTCTCCACAGGTGTATAAATCCATCTATTTCCTTGGTCACATCTTCTTCTTAAGCCTACTATTCATATTGCCTTATGCTCACAAAGCAATGGTGCCAAGGAAAGAGAAGTTGAAGAAGATGGAATAATCCATTTCCCTGGTAAGTAAATACAGCTAAGCTACTACCAGGTTACAGAATAGAGCAACAGACTGGAAAAAATAGTATTAGGCATTTGGGTGCATTACAAGGATTAGCCTGGCTACTAAGAGACACAGTAGGGGCACTGACTACTGTGGTTTATTGAAGCATGCTAGGACACACCTGGAAAGGCTACAGACCAGGAACTCGGGGAGTAACTAACCAGCCTTCCAACCACATCTTGTCTTGCAGGTGGCCTATGCAGGACTGGTGCAGAAACTACTTGTCTCCCTTTCATAGCACTCCTTCGCCCCAGGGCACAGAGAACGGAAAAGCCAGGGAGGTGGAAGATCTGATGCTTCCAGCTGTGCCTCTGCTGCCAGCCAAGTCTTCATTTGGGGCCAAAGGGGAAACTATTTTTTTGGAAATGGAGTCTCGCTCTTTCGCCCAGGCTGGAGTGCAGTGGCATGATCTCAGCTCACCGCAACCTCCACCTCCCAGGTTCAAGCGATTTTCCTGCCTCAGCCTCCCAAGTATCTGGGAATACAGGCGCACCACCATGCCCAGCTACTTTTCGTATTTTCAGTAGAAACGGGGTTTCACCATGTTGGCCAGGCTGCTCAAACTCCTGACCTCAAGTGATCTGCCCACCTCAGCCTCCCAAAGTGCTGGGATTACAGGCGTGAGCCACGGCGCCTGGCCCAAAGGGGAAACTCTTGTGGGAGGAGCAGAGGGACCCACATCTCCCCTCTGGCTCCCCCATGCACGGTTGCCTTATCTCTCCCCCTCTAGCCAGGAAATCTGTTGTGTTTTTCTTCTGCCAATTTACGATTGTATATGTGCCGCTACCGCCACCTCCCCCATGGGGGGGTGGAGAGGGGTGCAAGGCCCTGCCTGCTCCACTTTTTCTACCTTGAAACTGTATTAGATAAAATCACTTCTGTTTGTTCAGTTTTTCACCACCAGCATTCCTGACTGCTCTTTCACAGTTCTTCTTCATCCCCGCCATGGCTGATAATCAGGGTTCTCTCCTTCAGAGCAAAGCAATCTAGGAGCTAAAGCCTGCCTTCAAAGCATGGAACCAAACTGCTAACTGTGTAACCTCATGTCTGTCCCTAAAGTACCAGGGGAACACACAGTTTTACACCATTAGATACTTTAGGAACCCCCCGAAACAACAAGGTTTGCAAGAGCAGTATTCATAGGATAAACAAATAGCAAATGTACAGCCTTGGCTCCCCAAACTCCACAGTCTCAGTGCAGAAAGATCATCTTCCAGCAGTCAGCTCAGACCAGGGGCCAAGGATGTGACATCAACAGTTTCTGGTTTCAGAACAGGTTCTACTACTGTCAAATGACCCCCCATACTTCCTCAAAGGCTGTGGTAAGTTTTGCACAGGTGAGGGCAGCAGAAAGAGGATAGTTGCTGATGGACACCATCTTCTCTGTATACTCCACGCTGACCTAAGGAGAGAACAGTTTTGTCAGCCAACTCTGTCACTCAGCAGCTGTTCAACCCTTCCTTGGGGCAGGAAAACTACGGCTAACCTAATGTTTCAGCTGTGCTGTGTAATATCAAATTCCTACAAAGGATGAAGAAGGTCCTAACTGTGACTATCAAAAATATGGCAGCAGTCCTCTGGATGCATCCTGGGGCAGGGTACGGAACTGTCATGTGTCTTCTAGCTCATTGTAAGCACTGTTAAAATGCCTATTGCTCTGGCAATTCTTAAGTTCAGCTCTACCAAGAATCTCAGGGTTGGGCCCAGACCTTACCTTACCATGGGCAAAGGCCCCCACCACAAAAACGATAGGATCACTGCTGGGCACTAGCTCACGCACATCACTGACAACCGGGATGGAAAAAGAAGTGCCAACTTTCATACATCCAACTGGAAAGTGATCTGATACTGGATTCTTAATTACCTAAAGTAAAAAAGAGAAAAGTCAGCCTCAGAAACATTCCCAGAACCAACCTTGAACTAGTAGATTTCAATACCTCACCTTCAAAAGCTTCTGGGGGCCATCAGCGGCTCGAACACTGAGCTTGTGTAAAAGCTGAACTAGAAAGGGGAAAAAGCATTCAGAGCTAGATGGAGACCACAGTCCTTCCGTCCAGTCATCGAACAAGGAAAACCCCATAGGTAAGATGGGTTCCCTGTGTGCTTTATATCCAGACTGGACTCCTGAAATGGCAGGAACAAACAGCTGCCAAGCATATGGCTAGCTGTACAATGATAGGTTCAGACTCCCATTTTCACTCAGCAGGGAAGCTACTGCAAGAACAGGAGAGTGGAGTTTCCACAAACAAAAATAATAGGAGTCCTTGTCCTAGTATTAATCATGTCCTCCCATCTCCTCCCTTAAAAAAAATCCCACATTTAGTTCTCCCTTTTCCTATTCCTCCCTCCTTCCCTACCTCCAAGTTCATTCTGAACTTTGTTCTAAGGCTTCTTACCCATGAGGCCACAAAAGCGATCAAAGGTTCTGGGAATTCGGGTCTGGGGGTTCACTTCAATCAGAACATTCTTCTGTGTGTGGATATAAACCTGCAGCAAGCCAGCTCGGTTCAGGGGACTATCCATCAGCATCAGCAAGCTCTGACCAAAGCAGAAACCAAGGCATGGTTAAGGCTGAAGAGACCCTTCCATACAGAGACTCAAACAGTTGTGAGCGTTGTCCCTGGAGTTACCTGGTGGGCTATGTCTGGCCGCACTTCCCCAGGGTCCCGTCCATTCTTCAACAATATAGACTTGTGCTTGTCACAGTTGAGTAGCTCATATGTCTTCCCTACCTGAACAGGGAACATGACCAAAGAACAGCATAAGCTTCTGTTACCTGGCCCTGTGATTCTTGAAGTGTGGTACCCAAACCACCAGCAGCAGTTGCACCCGGAAACTTGTTAGGCAAATTCTCAGGCCCACTCTAGATCTACTAAACCAGAAACACTGGAGGTGGGGCCCAGCAAGTCCTTCAGGAGATTACTGTGCAGCTATATTTGCACTCCCCAGTAAATGGTCTTAGAGGGAAACAGGAGGAAGGGCACAACCTGTGACTTCACATTATCTACCAATACACTGGATTTACTTTTAAAACCTGTGGCTGTTAGGCAAAGCTAATGAGACATCCTGGAACCAAGCAGGAGTTAGTAGTTAGTGAGCAAGGCTGAATGCTGTGTTTATCACAGAAGCAGTATGTATGTACTGTCCAAAATATAGTCACTACCCTCAGTTTGCTTACATCAAACACGCACTAAGTGAAGAGCTGCAAATCTGAACAGGAAGAAGTGTGAAAATTCTAATGATGCAGGAGGCAATTTAATAAAAAAAAAAAAAAAACTCTCGGAAGTAAAATGAAGAGGGGTTACTCCCAGTTTTAAGATTGGCATGAGGGTGGGACATGGTGGCTCACACCTGTAATACCAGCACTTTAGGAGGCTGAGGCAGGCAGATCACTTAAGGTCAGGAGTTCAAGCCCAGCCTGGGCAACATGGTGAAACCCCGTCTATACTAACAAATACAAAAACTAGCTGGGCATGGTGGCACACGCCAGTAGTCTCAGCTACTTGGGAGGCTGAGGTAGAAGGATGGCTTGAGCCCAGGAGACGGAGGAGACCGCACGACTGCAATCCAGCCTGGGTGACAGAGCAAGACTCTGCCTCAAAAAAAAAAAAAAAGCCTGGGTGCAGTGGCTCACGCCTGTAATCCCAGCACTTTTGGGAGGCCAAGGCGGACAGATGACGAGATCAGAAGACCGAGACCAGAGTGGCTAACATAGTGAAACCCCGTCTCTACTAAAAAAAAATACAAAAATATTAGCCTGGCGTGATGCTGGCATGCGCCTATACTCCCAGCTACTCAGGAGGCTAAGGCAGGAGAATCGCTTGAATCCAGGAGGTGGAGGTTGCAGTTAACCGATATCGCGCCACTCCACTCCATCCTAGGCGACAGAGCGAGATTCCGTCTCAAAAAAAAAGAAAGAAAACGAGTACTACCATCGCAGGATATCAAATCAACAGACAGCCAACCAACGCACCTTTCTCCAAAAGCATTTTTCACCCCTTTCTGCTTTCTCCATCCACTCTGAGTCCCGCACCCTCATTCCACGGAGTCCCAACCAGCGATTTGCTAGTTCTCCACTTCCTTCCCCAAACTACCTTGACTGTCTCCAGACTGGCCCCTTCCAGCACCACAATAAGCCTACGGCCTCCGATCTTGTTTCCTGCCCCGACTCGGGGCCGCTTGGGGGCCACAGCATCCCAGTCCTCTGCCTGCTCCCCACCGCTTCGTTCACGAGGCTTGAATCCACCACTGGGCGCGGCCATCTTGCAACCAGACCGGAAGTTGCGCTAGCACTCGTAAAGGAGAACCCCGCGGCTTTTAATCACAAATTTCCTTCCGGCTGCCATTTTGAAAGTGGGCTTGGAAATGGCGAAGACTTGCGGTCTTGCGCTGCCCTCCCTGGGAGGGCAGCCTTCCAGAAAGGGGCGGGACTTCCGGATGCGCGATTCCTGTGCGCGAAGTTCGGGTCCGTAGTGGGCTCTGGGGGAGGATTTCGAAGGGAGCGCACTTCCGGTGCCCTTTCTTTCACCAGCATTACGGGTCCGAGCCCTCGTGTGAAGGGTGCAGTACCTAAGCTGGAGTCGGGTAGAGGCGGGCCGGCACCCCCTTCTCACTTCTGGTGCCGCCAGCCTCAAGATTAGACATGGCCCAGAACTTGAAGGACTTGGCGGGACGGCTGCCCGCCGGGCCGCGGGGCATGGGCACCGCGCTGAAGCTGCTGCTGGGGGCTGGCGCCGTGGCCTATGGTGTCCGCGAATCCGTGTTCACCGGTGAGCAACCTCCGCCCGCTCGCCGGACCCTTCTAGTCCCTCCCGCAAACCCCTTGCCGTGTCTTACCCGGTCCCCGCGCCCCACCGGAGTCTAGCACTTACTCTGAGCAGCGGCCTGGCCTGATCACCTCCCCTCTCCCCACAGTGGAAGGCGGGCACAGAGCCATCTTCTTCAATCGGATCGGTGGAGTGCAGCAGGACACTATCCTGGCCGAGGGCCTTCACTTCAGGTAATGGCGGCCAGAGCTGACTGACCCTGACCTTTCACCTTTGACGCCGACCCAGCAGTGGCTATAGTCGGACGTGCAACAGGATTCAGCGCTGCTCTTTTCCCTCCTCATCCCCGCTCCCAGGACAGTGGGCGCTGCGCGAGCCTCCAGCAGTACATAAACTGTTGCTTTCCAGAGGGACAAGAGAATCTCTTCTTGTCTGTGGTCATGGGGAGGAGCAGGCCAAAAAGCACGTGGTGAGGGAAAACTGGGCAAAGCTAGTGAAACTGCGGTCTCTTTTTTTTTTTCTCCCCCCCCCACCACTCCCTCCACTTGAGAGGGAGTCTTGCTCCATCGCCCAGGCTGGAGTGCAGTAGCGCGATCTCTGCTCACTGCAGCCTCCACCTCCTGGGTTCAAGTGACTCTCCTGCCTCAGCCTCACGAGTAGGTGGGATTACAGGTGCCCACCATCACGCCCGGCTAATTTTTGTATTTTAGTAGAGATGGGGTTTCACTGCGTGGGTCAAGCTGGTCTCGAACTCCTGACCTCAAATGATCTGCCCGCCTCGGCCTCCCAAAGTGCTGGGATTACAGGCGTGAGCCACTGCGGCCTCTTAATACCTATTCCTGCCTCCTCCAGGATCCCCTGGTTCCAGTACCCCATTATCTATGACATTCGGGCCAGACCTCGAAAAATCTCCTCCCCCACAGGCTCCAAAGGTAGGTCAGAGCACTTGGTAATCACATGGCAGGTGGGATGATCAAAGAATTATATCTGCTGTTACATCCACTAGTACACTCTGTTCTGGAGAAGTTTGTCTCCACTCTTGACTAGTTCACCTGTTCTCCTTCTAGACCATACGTAGAAGCTGTGCTTTGAGTTCCCCAGACCTCTTCCTCCTTCCCACACACACACACACACACACACACCCACTGAATTAGGTAGCTCACGGATGTACTTCTTTGTACTATACCTAGTGCGGGTCACTTATTCATTTACTAGACTGGGCGCTGGGAATAAAAGATTCTTAGAACACACTCTTGTCCCCCAAATCCTTAGAGGAAACATGATTATGGTACCGCATGAAAGCACCCACTTTAGAGGTTGCACAGAGTACAGAGGGGAAAAGAGGGGTCAGCTCTGCTAGTGATGGGGTTGCAGTTCAAGGATTCACAGTAGGTGAAGATGCATTTCACCTGTGCTGTGTCACATCTTCCTTGTCAACCTGATGAACTCTCCTCCCCCTAGGGTGGTGCCAGGCTGTACATCATTGCACAGGGCATAGAGGGAGGCACATGGAGGAGAGAGTGCTTGGGAAAGGGTGTTTGGCCTTGACCAGCCACTGCTGACCTCAATCTCAGACCTGCAGATGGTGAATATCTCCCTGCGTGTGCTGTCTCGACCCAATGCTCAGGAGCTTCCTAGCATGTACCAGCGCCTAGGGCTAGACTACGAGGAACGAGTGTTGCCATCCATTGTCAACGAGGTGCTCAAGAGTGTGGTGGCCAAGTTCAATGCCTCACAGCTGATCACCCAGCGTGCCCAGGTCTGACTTCCACCACTGTCTGCATGGTGTCAGCCTTTCCCTCCTAGGTCCAGGGTATTGGGAATTAGGAGAGGCAGCTTAGTAGAAAAGGATTGTCACCCTACTGCCATTTCCACCTAAAAGCCATGCTAATTGCCACTGTGAAATAAGGAGAGCCAGCGTTAGAACTCTGTAGCACTCGGTGTTAGGAAGCATGGAGGGAAATGGCCAAGTCTTGGCTTTTCCTGCCTCTCTTTCAGCAGAGAGTCTTATGTTACAGGTTTGCCCAACAGGAAGCTAATGCAATTCGTATTGTATTGGGGAGAGTGAAGGATTAGGGGTCACTGTGAGCTGGAGCAGTCCTGTCATCTCTCTAAGGTGTCTCATTTGTTGCATGAAAAGATTGAATCAAGTCCCTTCCAACTCAGATGTTGTGGTAAGGCACTGAGGAAGGGTTGATGAGTGTTCTGCCATGCTCAGGGGACCTGGTGTTCAGATCACACAACACAACCTTCCTTTCAGTTCTCCAGCCCCCTCAAACCACCCTGCCCTTTCCCTCCTCACGCTTCCCACCAGGTATCCCTGCTGATCCGCCGGGAGCTGACAGAGAGGGCCAAGGATTTCAGCCTCATCCTGGATGATGTAGCCATCACAGAGCTGAGCTTTAGCCGAGAGTACACAGCTGCTGTAGAAGCCAAACAAGTCGGTGAGTCACAAGAGCAGTGGGGCGAGGGCTTCCGAGGTGCAGGAGGAGGAAAGACTCCATGAAGGGGGCTCCTGAGCCAGGACTGGGTCTACCTGACTCTCTCCCACCACAGCCCAGCAGGAGGCCCAGCGGGCCCAGTTCTTGGTAGAAAAAGCGAAGCAGGAACAGCGGCAGAAGATCGTGCAGGCCGAGGGTGAGGCCGAGGCTGCCAAGATGATATCTTTCTGCTGGAGAGATCTCAGCCCAGCCCATAGGGCACCTGCGTTCTCCATCCTCTTTCATGGGCAGGCTGATGAGACTAAGGCGAATGCGACTCCGTGCCCTCCAGCCCTTGGCTCCTTCTTAGCGGTGGGGACTGTAGACGAGATCTGAAATCTTGGTGGGGGTAGCCGAGGCCTGACTCCCCACTGTAAGGCCAGATCAATAGCATTGCTGGCCTTGCCTTCATTTCTGCTGCTGCCCCCAGTTCCTGGCAGCAGCCTACAGGGAGGCCCACAGGTGGGGTCCAAGGTAGGGCTGGGCACAAGTCACCTGAGCGCAACCTTGGATCTGACAGCCCAGAGGAGGACTGCAGCAAGGGAGTGTGGTAAGGATGGGGCCAGGGATTGAGGCCTGCCCTTGTGTGAACCTTAACTCTACTCACCTTGGAGAAGCTCTGAGCAAGAACCCTGGCTACATCAAACTTCGCAAGATCCGGGCGGCCCAGAATATCTCCAAGACGGTGAGTGTGTCAGCCCGGCATCTCTGATGGGGCTGCCTTGTGAGAGAAAGTGCTTTCAGTTAAGGCACATTGAAGTGAGGGAATTCGAATCTTGCTTATTCGGGTTTCTACTCAGATTGGCTTCTCTGGCCGGGTGCCGTGGCTTATGCCTGTAATCCCAGCACTTTGGGAGGCCAAGGCCGGCAGATCACCTGAGGTCAGGAGTACAAGACCTCCCTGGCCAACATGGTGAAACCCCATCTCTACTAGAAGTACGCAAAAAAAAATGAGCCAGGCGTGGTGGCATGCAGCTGTAATCCCAGCTAGCTACTCAGGAGGCTGTGGCAGGAGAATCACTTGAACCTGGGAGGCAGAGGTTGTAGTGAGCTGAGATGGTGCCACTGTACTCCAGCCTCAGCGACAGGGCAAGACTGTCTTTAAAAAAAAAAAAAAAAAAAAAAAAAAATTGGCTTCTCTGCATCTTTTCCCCTCATCAAGAACGATTCCTCTGGGCTCCCTAACCTTTTGTTCTTGCCCCTTTTATGGTGCTAATGATCATAGCAGCTGCTCACTGCTCTGGATCCCTGAATAAGAGCAGAAACCATGTCTTACTCATTGCTGTATCCCTGCCCCAGCCCACATGTGTTCCATTAAGTGGCTACTGAATTGCAGAGGCCGGAATTGAGGCCTTTGCTTAATGTAAGCATCTGTCTTATTTCCCACCATGTAGATCGCCACATCACAGAATCGCATCTATCTCACTGCTGACAACCTTGTGCTGAATCTACAGGATGAAAGTTTCACCCGGTGAGAGATGCGACCACACAGTGGGGCGTCACAAGGAACGTGGGACTTGAGTGGTTGCTTGGGCTCTGGAGCCTGCTACAGCTGTTCATATGGCCCTGAGAGACTGAACCAAAATTAGAAAAGGAGGTGGTTGGCAGTTTTTCTCTTGCATCTCATAGGATTGAGTTTATGAGATCAAACGGGATTATTCACATAAGAAGCACTTTAATTGTAAAGTTTTTACCTAACCGAGAAGTGATGAAAGATGGTACTCAGTTTTCTTACTCAAGAGCCCTAAAACTGCTCAGGTGCATGGAGGGATGTTAGGGAAGGAGACGAAAAATAGCAGTGGCCATGAGAACCCGCCGCCTCGTTTCATGAGCCCGAGATTCCTGGCCGCCAGCCCTGTTTGTCTTTTCTCCTGGGAGCAAAGGAGGGTTCAAAGCTGTGTGGGGCCTGAAGCTGTCAATTAACATGTGCATTTCTCTTCTCTGTTTCCTGTTCATCTGGTGATCTGGCACCACAGAGGAAGGTAAGTTGTTGCTGCATCCTTGTTCCTGTGGGGTCCTGCAGGCCACCTTCTCCCAACACCTGCTTTCTACCCCACTGCCTTTCCCACCTCCCCACAGACAAACCCTCAGTGGGGCAGGAGGGTCGTGGAGGGAATGGCCTAGCGTCCTGCCTCTCACATTTATGTCCCCTAATAATGTCATCATCTGTCTTTCCTACAGTGACAGCCTTATCAAGGGTAAGAAATGAGCCTAGTCACCGAGAACTCCATCCCCAGAGGAAGTGGATCTGCTTCTCCTGTTTTTGAGGAGCCAGCCTGGGGTCCAGCACAGCCCTATCCCACCCCAGTATCATGCGATGGTCCCCCGCACCCGTCCCCCAAACCCCTCTTGGATTAAGGAAGACTGAAGACCAGCCCCTTTTCTGGGAAATTACTTTCCTCCTCCCTGTGTCGGCCGGGGATGTTGGGACAGTGTGATTTCTCAGTGATTTCCTACAGTGTTGTTCCCTCCCTCAAGGCTGGGAGGAGATAACCACCAACCCAGGAATTCTCAATAAATTTTTATTACTTAAGCTCAAGTCAAGGCTTCACATGTTCATGAGCAGCACGCATGCGCAGTTACATAGGCATGGCTGGGGCTGTCTTTGTGTCTGCCAGCAGAGGGCGCAAAAGACTCTGGCTGGGGCAGCTAAGGGGAAGCAGGGCCTGGGGTCTAGAGGCCCAGCTGCGCTCTTCACCCCACCTTCCATTTCTCTCACATCGCCCATTTTTTTAGGGCTGGAGCAGCTGTGGCTTTGCTGAGCCACATTAAAAATCTGATGACCCCAACAGGAGCTGCTTCCTTGGTAGCAGAGTTCCATGTGGCTCTGGCAGCCTGCCTGTGTCTGTGGAGGGGCTTCTGTGCCTAGAAGCCCAGTGGATCGCATGGCCTGATGTAGGCCACCAGACTCCATTTATGTCCCCAGGCGTGAGGAGCTGCTTGGCTAGCAGAGCTCTGTGGAGGTGGGCTTGTCACTCCCTCAGCTCTGGGGCCAACAGAACAGGTGCCTGTTGAGTCCACAGATAAGCGGACACTTCTTCCCAAGACAGCCCTTCCTGAATCTCAAGCACCAGAGAAACAAAGTCACCGTTTATACCTGAGTCTCCCACTACTGCCCACTTCCCTTCCCTACGGGGAGACAAGGAAAGTTTAGAACTCTAAGACAAAACCTGGGGGCAAAGTATGTGCAGGAACTACCAAATGCCGATAGGGCAGCAGGTGGATCTGAACTAAATTAAGGACTGAGTTAATCTGCCTCGATTTTTAGGATGTTTTCCTCTGCTTAGGGTTGAGTTTCATGAAAGACGAAGCAGATATGGCAGCCCCAGTCCTGAGTTACTGTGCGGCCGAGATCAACAAGAGGACAAAAGACGGGTCGAGTGACCTGGATCAACCTTCCTCATGTTCCTAGTCACACTTTATTTATTTCATGTTCCCAAGGCGGGCAGTCAATGGAGGTACCTGCGGAACCTGTGTTTCCAAACCTTGCTGCAGCTGTAGAGGCAGCCATTTTGTCTCCTTCCCATTGTTCCCCTTTGCCTAGTGATCCGTCCCCCCTCCGGAGGGGTAAAGGTCAGAGGTCGTTGGTCAGTAGGCCTCCATGGTCTTCAGGGCTCCCTGAAAGTCACTGCCGAAAGAACCGACCCGGGGGCCATCTTTACCAGACAGTGTTAGGAGCTTTGCAATTAGACCATCCAACACTGTACTGGAAGATGGACCCAGGGCCGGCCAATGGAGAACTACGGCGAGAATGCTCCAGCTGCTGCAGGGACCCTGGCCACAGGCCAGGTGAGGTCTCCCGAGAGGGGCGAGCCAATCCCAAGCTCAAGGTCGACTGTGGATCCACTAGGTGACAAATCGCACTGGGTGGGAGGAGGGGCCGGGGCCCATTGTGTCCCTGAGTGGCAGCCAGCCAACGAGAGCCACCCCTGGTGCCGCACTCTCAGCTCCAGACAAGGGGCTTCTGAGGGGCGTGGGAAGTGGGGAGGGGGCTGCAGCCAGCTAAGGCCGGGGCACCTGACTCGGTGGATGTCGCTGACACAGGGACAGGGGCCTCCATCATTACCCGGCAGTATTAGAGACTCCCAACCGCACCCAAACACTGCTGGGTAAGACGAGGGCCCCCACCCAGCCTGCCCACCTTGGGTCAGGAAGCTTCAGGCCCAGGTCCCCTGCGGAGAAGCTGCAGATCCCTGGCTCCCATCCCCCCCACCACCCGAGTCCCTGGGGACACTTCCGGGTGAGCCTGCTGCCCGCCACCAGCTCCACCCTGGGTCGCTGGTCGCTAGGCCCAGGCTGCGGCCCAAGCAGGCCTTCTGCAGCCCCTCAACCATCGGCGCCCCCCGCCCCAAGCCACCTTCCTCCACCCCCGAAGTCTGCCCCTACCCGCAGCACGCACTGACTCACCCACCCTCATCCACCCTCTGCAGTCCCTAGCTCAGCCCAGGACCCCTCCCCTGGTGGCCTTTACCTGTCACCGGGCCCGCCTGCCCCCAGAGGGTGGGTGCCAGGGAGACGAAGGGGCTTTGAGGCCCCAGATTCAACGGCCTAGAGCCCGCCCCGGCCTCCTCTCTTCCTCCTTCCTTCTCCGCCTGCCCAGCAGCGCAGGCTCCTTACCTGGGCCCCGCCCGCCGCCCTGCGCACAGGTGTGTCCTCCTGCCATAGGCTGCCCCCCCACCGCCTTAACCCCTTCCCTCCCAGCATCAGTCACAGGCACCTCCTCTAAGGCCTCGCCACCCCAATAGGCCTCCCACCCTCTCCCAGAGCCTCTTTTTTCCTACCTGCCTATTCTCACCCCTATCTCCAGAGGAACAAAGGGAGGGGCTGTCCTCAGGTCCCCTCCCCATGGCATCTGCTGCCTTCAGGCCTAGCTCCCTTCTCTGCGACCTCAGACCCTGCCCACAGCGGAGCTGGAAGACCAGAGAGATCCTTGAGGTCAGCGAGGGGTCAGCCGGGCAGGAGTGGGACTGCTGCCGCAGTGCCCAGCCTGTGCTAGGATCCCGTGAGGGACAGGGGCGGGAGGAGGCCCCACCAGGCCTGTGAAGGGCAGGTGGGTCCCAGCAGGGTGCCCCTAGTGTGGAGGTACCCACCGCTATCCAGAGACCCCAGCCGGCCGGAGCCTCAGCCCTGCCCCTCGGTGGGGGCCTGCAGAGGGAATGATCTCGCTCCTCTCCCGACCAAACTGCTCCCGGACCCACCTCACAGCACAGCCTCACTGGAGTCCAAGTCCCACCCCAAGGGCAGGTAGCCCAAGGGCGGTTAGAGGAGGTGGGACTTGCCTTTGTGCAGCTGGGATGGAAAGGGCGTTGCTGGGAGAGGGGCCCTGAGCCCGACAGGTGATTGCCCCACCCACGCCCCAGGGCCACAGCCCCAGGGAGCTATTGTGTTGCTCAGTCCCTAGCTGTTCTCTCTCTCTCGGTCTTTGTTTGCTTCCTTCTTAATACCGGCCTGCAATTATTTGATGCAGGTGATCGGTGTGTGAATCCGTCTCCCTGACCAGCCCCCTAAGTTCCAGGAGGCCAGGGGACTGTGAATGGCGGTGGTGCCAGGGGCTCTCTAAGAAGGATTTGCTGAATAATGCTTGCCCAGCCTCTGGGCTTCCGGACCTGTGCGGCCTCAGCCTTTCCAGGAGTGGGTGCCAGCCCTTCCTGAGGGATGACTCGCACCGGCTCCACTCCCCAGGACATGAGTGTTTCAAATGAAGGAGAAACCCCACTCCCGACACAGCACGGGGGGAGGAACAGGGGACCAGCAAACAAAGCAATCTTCAAGTCTGCCAGCTCTTCAAACTCTGCCCCGGATGGGCAGCCGCCGCCTGGGTGCGGGGAGGAGCTGGGTACACCGAGAGCCTGTCCCCGTCCCCGTTCCCCCTGAGGGGACGCAGTGGGGCTTGCCTCAGGTCTGTGCTTCTGGCTAACTACTCTTCTTAGTTCGGATCTGGAAGTCAGCATCAGGGGAGTGTGATGGGGGCCCTGAGGGCGGCAGCTGCAACTCCAGGGTAAGGAGTATGGGCTCTGGGCTCAGAAGGCCTGGGTTCAAATCCCAGCTTCACTGCTGCGTAGTCCTGTGACCTTGGGCAAGCGACCAAGTTACTTAGTCTCTCTGTGCCTCAGTTTCCTGCACCGTAAAATGAGAATGACAGAAGTGCCTAGACTGATCTAACGTGTGTAGCCTCTCCGTGCCTGGGCACATGGCAAGCGTGTGATGAGTCACTGTGCCCGTCTTATCACCAGCCATCATCTTGTGCTTTTCACAACCACCCTATTATGATCGCCCTCCATTTTAAAGAAGGAAACTGGGAGCTTCGTCCACAGTCACCCTCCCACGTGTGCGGCGGAGTCCGGACCCACGGCCATCTGACGGGAGGCGGAGCCCACTCACTGGGCAAGCAAAGCGCTCGGTTAGAGGCGACACACAATCCCAGGCCTTTATTTACAAGAGGAGAAGGGCTGGCCTGACTGGGGCCTGGCTGGGCTATGTACAGGATCAGGGAGAGGTGTGACGGATGCAGCCATTTAAATTACAACAGAATGGGGTGCTCCTAGGTTCAGGTTGTGGGTCTGTCCACTGTGGGAGGCTTCCGCAGGGTCTGGGCTGAGGCTGCCAAGAGAAGGAGTTAGGGAGTGAGAGGGTGACTGGAACCTGGAGGGGAACAAGGTCTGGGGCAGCTGGGAAGGGCAGAGTGAGGCTGCAGCCACCCCATGCACCCAGGGAAGGCAGTGGGGCAGCGCAGGGAGGACAGCCAGGGAGAAGAGTTGCACCACGGCCACCTGAGCACGGCGCCTGCTCACTTCCTCTTGAGGGAACCCTTGCTCTTCTCCTTGTCTGCTGACCGCTGCTTCTTCACTTTCTCCTCCCGCTTGTTCTTCCCGTGCAGGTTCTCATACACATCCTCCTTGTGTCTGCAGCAGGGTGCAGGGGGCAAGCACAGGCGGGGGGCACAGGTCAGGAGACAGCACGGGGGACCTGGCAGTGGCAGCCCCCACTGGCTGCCCCATCTCACAGGTGGCCCAGCCACTGTCCCTGCGCTAGACTCCAAGTTCTTTGAGGTCAGAGGCTACATCTCATACACAAGTGCACTGCTGCTATCTAGCACAGGCCCACACGCGGTGGGCACTCTGGAAATGCTTATGAACAGAAGGGGTGAGAACCAAGCTTGAACTTGAAGCCAGGTCCCCCCAGCTGCAACACGTCCTCTCCAGAAATCGAGGATCGGGCTGGGCAGGACAAAGGGGTAGATGCCGGGAGGTGGCAGTCAGGGCCACTCACTTGGATGAGGTGCGGGAGGCCTTGGCATGGGCGTTCTTCATGGCTGGGGGGTAGGTGATGTTCCCGTACTCCGACTCCTGGCCCTTCTGCGACTGTGGGCAGAGGGATAGTAGGAGGGTGGTGGTCCCAGCAGGGCCAGGTGGTATCCATCCCCCGCTGCAGCCCCCCAGGCCCTGCTCTGCACGCACCTGCAAGACCTCCAGCTTCTTCTTGGTGGTTTCAATGAACTGGGCGATGGCCACGTAGATGAACTTGTACTGCGCCTCCGTCTGCACCATGCCCGAGCGCTGAGCCCGCACCATCTGGATGGTCTTCTGGATGTCAATGTCACAGTCCAGGCCTGGGTGGGGGCAGTCATACCTCAGGCCCAGGCACCGGTAGACACCGAGGGGCTGCTCACCCCTGCCCCCAAGCCCCCAGGGCCCCTCACCTTTGGTGGAGATGTTCTCCATGAGCATGTCGATGACAATGATGGTACCTGTGCGGCCAATGCCCGCGCTGAGGAGAGACGGGGGGGCCATCAGAAGCCAGTCAAACCCTTCCTGGGAAGGGAGGTGACCAGTGTTCAGCTCCACCCCCGGGCACTGCAGGAGCAGCCTGAGCCTCCAGTAACAGAAGGAAATGTGCCCAGTGTCACTGGGCAAGTGACAATGAAGATTTGCCCGACTCTGCATGGGCACGCTCCACTTCTGGCTCTGCGGTGCTGATGCCAGCTTCCCAGATGCCACCATCCTTCCCTCCTCCCACTCCCTGCACCGAATCCTCACTCCTGGTGAGCAGCTGCCCCCTCCCCGAAAGACATGGGACCCCCAAATCCCACCACTGTCCTGCTGGCTCCCGGGCACCCTGAGCCCTCCCCGCCTCTCCCTTCAAGAGTTAGGGAGCTCCAGCTGGGTGCGGTGGCTCACACTGGTAATCCCAGCACTTTGGGAGGCCAAGGCAGATAGATCAAGAGGTCAGGAGTTCGAGACCAGCCTGACCAACATGGTGAAACCTCATCTCTACTGAAAATACAAAAATTAGCTGGGCGTGGTGGCATGCACCTGTAGTCCCAGTTACTCAGGAGGCTGAGGCAGGAGAATCACTTGAACCTGGAAGGCAGAGGTTGCAGTGGGCAGAGATCACGCCACTGCACTCCAGCCTGGGCACCAAGAGTGAGACTCTGTCTCAAAAAAAAAAAAAGTTATGGAGCTTCTCTCTGCAGGGGTTTACTTCCCTTTTTCTTCAGACACTGACAGCTGGGAAAGGGCAGCCCAGAGACAGGGTGCAGGGGCGCCGGGTCGGGGAGTCGGGGGAGCAGTGCGGTAGGAAGTTTCTCTCCTTCCCACCCCTGGGCAAGCAGACCCCAGGGAGACCCCAGGCCCACCCTCAGCTGGGCCCATCAGGCTGGTGCCCTGAGTCGCACTGTCTAATTTCAAACCCAGATTGTCAAAAATAACCCCCTTCACCCACTTCCTTCCTGTAACGTCTAAATAAAGGCCATGGGGCTTTCAAGAAGTGTGTGAATGTACGTGCGGCGGGTGAGCAGGAGGGTAGCTCTCGGGGATAGACCTGTCCCTGAGAGAGCAGAGGACAGAGCTGCGGACCCGAGACAGCCCATCAGGGGCAGCTCTAGATTCAGCCAACTGGCCCTGTCTCATGGACAAACAGCTGCTGGGGGGAAGAGGAGGAAGCCAGAGGCCATCAAAGGCCTGGGGTCCACGGAGGCCTGAAGGGGCCGGGCAAGGCAGGTTCCTGTTTGCCCCATTCTCTGCCTGGCATGAGTATAAACCAGTAGCAGTGCCAGTGTTTGAGGGCTGATGGAATTCCAGCCACAGCGATAGGGCCTCACGACAACCCTGAGATCCTGGCTTTACAGATGAGGAAGCTGAGGGTCAGAAAAGTTAAGCAATTTATCCAAGATCACACAGCTGGTGAGCGGAGGGGCCCTGCACCCCCTGCCTCTCTTCCACTTAGGCCAGGCCGGCATGGTGGGCTCATCGGTGGGACCTCTGCTCCTCGCAGCCCCACCTCTGCACCTTACAGGGGTCTCCTGATCACAGACACAAGGGTAGATAGAGGAGCTGTGTGTACCCCTATTCCCATACAGCCCTGGGGGCCAGGATGGGGAACCGCCAGGGAAAGGGGAAGAGAAGGTGGAGTCAGGAAGAAGCCTAAACCCTGGGGCTACAGATGGAAAAAGGAGGAATGGGGAGCACAGGCCCGATGGATATTCCTGGGAGGTGAGAAGATACCAGCAGAGTGGGACCTCGAGAGACAGCAGGGCAGCCGGGACCCGGGCCTAGCCCGACCTCACCCTGACTAGCTGGGGCCTGGCCAGCAGCTGGGTCCCGGGTTCCTCCTCGGTATTTGGGTTGGGCGAGATGGGACATCTGGGGAAGGCTCTGAGGAAGACACCCACGGGCAGATGGCCAAAGTGGGGCTGGTTCCAGCCACGTTCCACCCCGGGGTCTGGAGCCATGAGGGGACCCAGAGGAAGCCGGGTGTGAGCGGAAGGCAATAAACGTGTGTGCTAACGTGTATGTTGCTTCTAACAGCTCACAGCACTGAGCAGCGTTTACTCCTCGGCGATCACTGCTGCCAGCAGGACCCTCGTTCTCACCTGCAGTGCACGATGATAGGGCCCGCGTGGGGCAGACTCTCCTGCCGCTGGTTGATCTGGTCCAGGAAGCTGAGGACGCCCCCGGGCTCACTGGGGACCCCATGGTCAGGCCAGCTCAGGTACTGGTAGTGCCAGATCTCCCGAACCAGGTCCCCCTGAGCCAAGGACATAGGGTCAATGCCCCCCGCTCCCTCGGAACACCCCACCTGCCTCACCCCACCCAACCACCCAAGCAGACAGGAGAGCAAGTCCAGCAAGGGACTCCCGGAGCGGGGCAGGGAGCGGGGGCTGCTCACATTGTCCAGTGGGGAGACCTGTAAGCTACGGAGTTTGTATTCGGGCGTGTCGTGCTCCCCGCAGTTGGTCACAGAGTAGGGCCCATAAACGCGCTGAGTGCCCACCTCAGGCCAGTAGGGGACACATTTATTCTGGAAAGAGAGCGTCAGGTGGGGATGAGGCACAGAGCAGGGCACCATGGCCCATCCCAGGGCAGTGGCCCAAACGTTCGTCAGATGGACAGATGAGCTGGCTGAGACGCAGGAGACCTGGGCTCTCCTCTTGGAGCAGCCACCAACAGGTGGTGGGGCCTGGCCAGCACTTTACCAGGACGTCCATTTGACATTCAACAAACGTCGAGCCGGGCGCAGTGGCTCACGCCTGTAATCCTAGCACTTTGGGAGGCTGAGGTGGGTGGATCACCTGAGGTCAGGAGTTCAAGACCAGCCTGGCCATCATGGTGAAACCCCATTTTAAAAAATAAAAATAAAAAAATAAAAACAAACGTCACCGGGGCAGGCGTGGTTCCTGAAGCTGTGCAAACCGGGCTACAGTCACAGACACAAATAAGGCCCCGTCTGTGCCCTGTGCCTCGAGTCGTTCACAGAGACAGGTGACCAGGGGAGACACGCACTGAGGAGCGTGGTTGAGAAAGAGGCCAATTCTCCCTCTCAGCCATGGAGGAAACGAGACATAGATTTACAGAGGGGGCAGGTAGCGCTTGGGCTGTGTCTTCAAAACAAGGCATCTGCCAGGCAGCGATGGTGTGGAGAGAGAGTCATTTCCTAGCACAAAGGCAGCTTGTGTAGAGGGAGGCTGGGAACCTGAAAGAGCCGGGGCTGCGGGGGTGGTGAGCCCTAAAGGGAATCGTGGGGGTCAGAGGGAAGCCCCCAGGCCTTCAATGCCAGGCCTTACAGTTCGACTTTATTCCAAAGGTGACCAGGAGCCATGGAAGGGATTTCAGAGAGGAAGGAACTTGACTCAGTTTGCGTCACCGATGGGATCACTTCGATGGCAGCACAGAGGGTGCTGTGCAGGGGGTCCCTCAGGGTAAGGGGCAGGGAGGACAGGAGGGGCCTGGGTGCAGACAGGTGGGGAAGGGGCAGGAGGAAGGAGGACAGCCTAAAACCTGGGTCTGGAGCTCAGGAGAACCCAGGGATGGATGCAGGGACTGGGGGGTCGCATTGTGCAGTTGAGACTTTGCCTCAGTTTCCCAACAAGGGCCGGACCCTCACCCCCGAGATCCCTTTTCGCCCTGGCATCTGACGGTTCTTTGACTTAATGGTGTGACCACACGCACTGGGGAGGGATGTGGGGGGGACGGGGTGCCCTACCCGGCCTTTCTCCACCTCTCGGGTGGTCATGACGATGACACGGGTGTTCTCCTGCCATGCCATCTGCCAGAAGTCGTTGACCGTGGCCTCCAGACAGCCCTGGCTGGCGATATAGGTCTTAGTGTTCTCATCAGGGCCTAGCAGCTGGTTCTGCACGCAAGCGTAGAGAGATGCACCCCAAGACAGTGAGCTCCTCGGCCCGGCACGGGCCCTGGATCCCTGCCACCTCCAACCGTGCAGGAAGCCAGCTCCAGCTCTGCCCAGGTGTCTCTGGATCTGGGGTCCTCACCAGACAGGGAATTCCCAGGGCCCGGCCTCTCCTCCCACAGGACCCACACCACTGACCTTGATGTAGTTTGCATTGATGTAGTCAGACCCAGGGATGCTACTGTCACGTCCCTGCAGGATCACTCGGCTGTGGTCAACTGGGAGTGTGTGGAGAGGAGGCGACACAGGCTGGGTCAGCCAGGGACTCCCCACACCTGGGGCAGACCACCCTCCTGAGCTAACGGGCCGTTCTGATCTCAGAAGCTTGTGGGGGAGGCTTGGGGGGACTGCGGGCAGCAGGGCTGGGGGATCATCTGCATGGAGGGAGGGAGGGGGGGTCCAGAGAAGGAGGTTGGGAGCAGGGGAACCTGCCTGCTGGTGGTGGGAGGCCCCTCTGGGAGGAGAAGAGGCCTTTTGGAGAAAGGGGAGGCTCTGTTGGGGGGTGTGGGGAGAGGGGCCCCACTGGAGTGGACAGTGGAGACCTGTCAGATGAGGGGAGGCGGCTGGGGCAGGGGCGGTCTCCTGGGTGAAGGGGGCGGCCTGGGTGCTCACAGGGGAGAATGTTCTTATAGCGGTTCTTGCCCTTGTTCTCTGGCCGCTGCCCTTCCAGGCGCTGGTGCAAGTTCTTCACCTCCTGCTTCTGCAGACTCTGAAATGTGGGCGGGGAAATGAGCATCAGCTCCCAGAGATGGCATCCATCAGGGGAGCTCACGCGGGGTGGGTCAGGAGCAGAGGCGAGCGAGGAGGGGGAAGTATCCCTCCTCGGCCCCATGCTGCCTGCCACGGCCTCAACTGCCCCAGTCCTGCAGGTCCCCACCGAGCACCTCAAACTCCTCCCAGAAGCCAGCCTTGGCTGTGTCCTCGGACTCCTGCTTCTTGTTCAGCTCCAAGACTCGGTTCTCAATGTCGGCCGCATTCACCCTCGTGGCGTAGTACGGCTGGGGTGGGGGATGGGGAGAAGTCAGCAACTCAGAGATCCCCGAAGCTCATGTCTGGGGGCGGCTCAGGGGAAGGGAGAAGGCAGCTGGGCCCACCCCTCACCTGCCGCAGGTAGACGAAGGCGCCTGAAGCCTCCTCAATTCCCGTCTTCTTGAAATGCTCCACCAGGTCCGTGAGGCTATCAAAGGTCTCTGAACCACCCACTGTGTAGCGTCCACCCTGGGGGGTGCCAAATAAGGCCACTTGCAGGGCCCCAGTCTCCCTCCCTGGGCCCCAGCCTTGAATTCAAGCCCAGGCAGATCCTCCCCACCGCCCACACTGTGGGCACAGACGGCAGCCTCAGCAGAGGCTCCCCCACCGCCTGGCTGCCTTACCTCACACATGACCTTGATGTGGGTGACCCTGAGCGGGGAGCCTGGGCCAGCCTTGGGCTGGTCACTGAGCACGGACAGCACAAAGTCTCCAGGCTGGCTGAGGCTCTCACGCACAAGAAACGTCCAAGGTTCGCCCTTGGCCTGAAGCAGTGTCTCTGCCTGCCCTCCAGACATGTGGCCATGGTACCACCTAGAGGAGGCAGCGTCAGGGCAGGTGAGACCCAGGCCACAGGGGAAGGTGCTGAGCAGAGACATTCACAGAGGGGCAGGAAACCCAGTACCTACTGGGCGCCAGGCACTGTCCTAGATGCTTCCAAATCCACCACCATATTTAGGTCCATTACTGTCTCCCAAGCAAGCTGAGAGGTAGGTATGGTATTATCCCCGTTTTATAGAGGAGGAAACTCAGGCTGAGCTGTTGCGCACTGGCCTAGGGCCCTTGACTGACTCCAGAGCCCTGCTGCCCAGGCCAGATGCAGTGGTGCGGTCACAGCCCCCTTCAGCCTTGGCCTCCCAGGCTTAAGCTGTCCTGGCCTCCAGAGTTCTAACCAGGCTTTGAACCCAGAGCCCACCTCTGAAAGGCAGAAAGCCTGTCAATATTCAAAATACTTAAAGGAGAGAAACTAAGGAAGAGTCTCCATGATGCATAGGGCTGTGCCAGGCAGACACCTGAGACAAAGAAACGCAGATCGAGGCCACATCACAGGCGGGAGACGGACAGAGACACAAGTCACAAGGAAGGCGGACAGGGTGCGCTCCCCCAGGGAGGCAGGGAAGACAACCCCACTGGGGAAAAAGTGGTGTGGGGGCTCTGGGGGTGCCCTGGATGATGTCACTGAAGGGGAGCCCAGGGTTCAAAGGGGTTCAAAGGGATTCAAAGGGGCTGTCGGGGCAGAAAGCAGAACTAAGCCCTTTCCCCAAAGCACACCCCTTTCCCAGGAGGAAACAGTAGCCCCACAATGCCCAGCCCCACAGGAAACCACGTGATGGAAAAAACACAAAACTCCTTCTGGGGAGAGAGTGAGAAGTGAGGTTGTGAGGTTTCCTCAGCCCAGGGGCCGGGGGGGGGGCAAATTTTCCAACCGCAGGGATGGGGGGAAGGACCAGTCTGTCCCGACCCATCTCACCCCTGCCCAGAGGTCACTCCAGCCAACAGACCCCACCCCCGAACCTCCAGATCTTACTGGGCTGCTTCAGCCTACAACTTAGGGACAGGCTAGGACCCCAGACAGCGGGGAGGGGGCTGAGCCCCTTCCCTTAGGCCCCAGGATGAGGAAGTCTCCATGCAAATGTCAGGCTGACCACAGGAAGCACAGAGCCACTGAGGGACAGATGCAAATTCCCGAAGAGAAGGAGGCGCCACAGACAAGGCAGGGGACAAGGCAGAACCTGGGAGAAAGAGCCTCTCACGCTCCCAGGCTCAGGGGTGACACTGGCTCCTGGGATGGGTTACCCAAAAGGGCCTCCACGGTGGCTTCCCTGGTCTTAACCTGTTAACCTCCCGCCCCAGCACTGCCCTCCCTTCCTTGTCTCTCTTCTCCCTTCTCTTTGAACCCGGGTCTCAGCCTCCTCTGTGGGGGCCTCCTGGGGCCCTGCTCCTCTCTTCCCCTCTAGGCACTGGTCAGCCCATCCTCTTCCTCCTGGCTTGAGGCAAGGAGAAAGGACAGGAGCTTCAGAGGCCCCCGAGTGTTGTGGCGGGGAAGAGGAAGGGCAGGGGACAGACACGGAGCCAGCCACGTGAGGCTCAGGGACAGGAGGAAGGCCGTGAAGGAAGCTGACCAGGGAAAGGAGGTCTCCAGGCGGGCCACAGGGCAATTCCGCAACCTCATTCCGCTCTAAGTTTCAGTCAGCGACTTCACCAAAGATACTGATGGCAGTTTGGAGGCCCGAATCCCAGAAAGGCTGAAAGCTGGCAGAAGCAAGGTTCCCAATCACTTCAACAACCCATCCGTGAGCGCAGGGCAAGGGCAGGTAGGCTCAGCCCCAGGGGTCCATGTGAAAACCCCCTTGTGTTATTCCACTGCCCTTTACTCTAAGAGGATCTGGCGTTGAAAGGAGCCAGGGTGTCCTGAGGAGATTTCAGAGCCCCCCGGCCCCTGCTCATGCCTTTGGGAGCTCACAGGGGCAGTGGCCAGCCCAGCTCTGGGGACCACACCTTTGAGCAGAGGGGACAGGAAGGAAATGCCTGGAGTGTTTGCGCTCAGGGCAGTGTGAGCCCCTTTCCACATGTGAACGCTCCCCGGCCCCTGGGTGGCTGAGATAAGGCGTCAAGTGTCCTGGCAAGCGTTCGTCCCCATCCTCATCCCTAGTGACAACTCCTAATGCGTGCTGGCCATGGGTGAGGGGAAGACGGAGGAGGGCACTCTCACTTCCACAGGAGGAAGAACTTTCTAACAACAGAGCTGGCCTGCACGACATGCCAGCCGCCAGCGATAGCCCCCCTGTCTCCAGTGGGACCTGGGTTGCAGTGGCCAGGGCCGCTGGAGTAGGGCAAGGCAGCCTTCTCTGGCTTCCTTGGGGTTAGGTAGAAAGGGTGGTAGGTTCAGCTCTGAGACAGCAGGCTGCAGGGGGAAGGAAGCTGAGAGCCCCAGCTGGTGCGAGCAGGGAAGGGGAGGGAGGGCAGCGGTGCTGGGTGCCAGGCTCCCTGCCTCCTGGGCCATTGGGGGTGGGAGCCGGCTTGCCCCAGCTTGGGAGAGGCAGGGTGTGAAGCCCTCACCTCTCACTAGTGGGGTCGGAGCAGTTCAGCGGGTACTTGAGGTGGATGATGGTGCCGTCGCGATCCTGCAGGACGCCCTGCTGCTGAGTGTAGTACTCCACCAGCTCCGTCAGCGTGGCAAACTTCTCCCCTCCATACAGGTCGTAGAAATCCCCTGAGTTCTGGATCCGAATATGGGTCACCTGATCCCCCACCCTGCAGGGCACCAGGCGGTGAGGCCAGTAGGTGCAGGAGTAGAGGCAGGAGGGCAGGGATCGGCGGAGGTCCTGGGTGGGGGCACACATGGGCATGGGTGGGCACAGACAGGGACGGGGAGCGCAGGGGGCGAGGGCACAGACCAGGCGAGGGGGTGGGGAGTTGGCACTGCCGTGGGGAACCAGGAATATGTGGTTCAGGGCCTGGACTGCACGAGAGAGCGGCCAAACACTGGGGAGGGCCACCTACCTGACAGAGAGCGAGAAGTCACCCTGGTTCTTGCGACTGGGCCGAGCCAGGAAGCTGCCATGGACACCTCGGCCCTTGAGCAGGGTCTCTGCATCCAGCCCACTGAGGTCTCGGTGAAACCACCTGAGTGGCCCAGGCAGGGCAGTGAGGTGGGGTCCCGTGGGCACCGGGCACCCTTGCCTCCTGCCTACTGAGGGCGGCAGGCCCTTACCTCACCATCCTGGGGGCTTCCGGAGAGGGAGGGGGCGCAGGGAATGAGGCGACACAGCTAGTCTGGGCAGGCAGAGGACTCGTGGACTAAGCCTCAAACGTGGCTCCCAGTGCCAAGCTGCCTCACCGGCCCCGGTGGTCCCAGTTCTGGAGCTGCCACTCCACTGGCCTAGGGCAGCCGGCAGGGCGGGGACCGGAAGAGGCGCGGCCGACCCCTTGGGGGAACTCACTTGTACTTCTCGTTTTAGAGTAGGGCAAGGGAAGAGAAGCAGAGTATGGTGGCACTGGGGGTGGGGACAGGGCCCACTTCCCACACGTCTGCAATCAAAGGCGCAGGAGCATGGTCCTGCACGTATGTGACACCGCATGCAGTAAGGACACATATGTGCCTTGCATACTAAAGGCCCAGATCATACTTCACGCATGTGAACCTGCAGGGTCACACAGCACCTCCTCCTTCTCCACCTGCTGCTCTTACACGGCCCTCCCTGGCCCACACTAGTAACAATGATGGTGGTGACGGCTGTCATCGAGTGAGTCCTGCTGGATGCTGGGCGCTGTGCTGTAATGGCGTTCACATGCCTCGTCTGACTGGTTTCTCACCACAGCCCTACGAAACAGGGGCTCTCTCTATCCTCATTTGACAGACAAGGAACCTGAGGCCCAGGGAGTTCAAGGCATTCCCTGAGTCCATCAGCGAGTCAGCTGCAGTGCCAGGATTCAAACCCAGGCAGTCCGGTTCCAAAGCCGATGCTTTTAACTCCTATACACCAGTCCTCAGGGCTTTAAAGAGCAGAGACTAAGAGCCTCCTTGTCCAAAGGGGCTGCCATGAGAGCGGGAGATTAATAGTTAAGACCTTGTCAACGCTTGCAAGAGAGAAGGGTGCCCTCCTGTAAGCAACATATGCGATTTGTCCATGCCACTGTGGCAGAGGCATGGGCAAAATGACCCTGAGCAGCCCTGTCAAACTTGGGTCCTTTCTAATTCTTGTCCCTAGGTCTCTGCCCCGCCCCAGGACTCTGACCAGGGGGCCTGTCTCCTGGGGGCTGGGGACTGGGGTCTGGGGGCCAAGGTCCTCACCATGGCTGATTTTCTCAGGGCTGGCTGACCTGAGAGGCCCTAAAC